TTCAGGTGACGAAATTTCCCCAGTTGTGTGGTGATTTTACCCCCCTGTGTGGTGAGATTGCCCCAGTATATTGGTTTTACATTTTATTTTTTTATAAATCACCAAGCTAATTAAAAAAATAGGGGAATGTCACATTTTAAAGCTTGGTGCTAACCGCATTCAACAATAAAAATAGAAATATGATAACGTGTCTCAAGATGGACAAAAAATAGCTTTGAAAAAATGCTGACGAAATTCCCCCACTCTCCCCTAATCCTAAAATTTTTCTAAGTATGGGGTTTGAAAGATAAAGAGTGTATCTTTTAAAAAACGTTAACCTTAAAACAAACCATTATTCCGTTTGCCTCTAAGACCTCCCAATTTTAGCATTTTTCGAACTTTGAGGTCCTTGTGCTAAGAATCCTTGCGTCGAGGAACTTTTTAAAAAACGCAGTTTATCTTAGGAACTCGTAACGAATTCAAATAAATAGCATCCATCGAGGTACATTTTAGATGTTGCATAGTGTAATCATTAAATTGTAATTCCTATCTTTTAAATTATAATGATTACACAGAACTTCAATGGCTTATAGGCTTTGATTGACTCAAATTATGACGGAACCTTAAATGCAATTATGTAGAAGGGCATCTAGGCAATCTTTTTGCATTGGTTTTATTAAAACTGAGCACAGACCCTCGAAGATATCTTAAATCAAAAAATTAAATGTTGCTATTTTTTTCAAACCGCGATTGCCCAAATACCACCCGTTAAACGCGAAATTTTAGTATGCAGATATGCTTATATACATACGTCTACACCGAAAATGTATCAATATAATCATTCCGACAGCATTTTGTATTTCGGAAAATAATATTGCAATAATAATAGGTACACGCCCTTCCTATCAATCCACTTTTCCCCATCGATGTCCAACTCAAACCAACATAATTTTAATTAAAACTCGCGCACTCAACCATTTAGCAAAGAATGGAAATTAATTTGCAGGCGCAAACAGAATAAACCGAGCCGAAACCAAGAACCACCGAACCAATGGCAATTGGCAATGGCCACATGGTAAAGGAATCAATCAGGCGTGGAGCCCATTGCAAATATTTCCCATTTCCAGATCCCGAAGTGCGCTAGGTCTGATTAGCCCCGGCAATCGGAACTTCCGCCTGAAAATGAAAATGTTTATTAAAAAATTTTCACTTTTACATAAATTTGTCGAGTTGCAGCAGCAGCGACGGAGCGGCAGGTAGCAGCTGGTGCCATCTGACATCGCGGAAGGCCACACCCAGTGCTTCCCAATTGGAACCGCCCCTGTTTTCCGACTTATGTACGGGCAGCACTACGGTTGTCTCACTCGAACCGTCCACCCATTGGATGCGTAACGCGAACCGGTTTCTGCCCAATGCAAGGGGAGACCATTTTCGTTGGCACGAGCAGAGCGCAGTATGTGTAAATGTATATAATATGGTATGGGAAGTCCGTACTCTTATGTACTGCGCGGAGCCGGAGGTTGGGCGTCCTCTGCAAGTGCTCCACTTGAAGGCAGCTGCTCCTACGCTTTGTCGTTTGTCTAAATGTTTGTGTTGAGCTGCGGGAATCGTCGCTGGGTGCGGATTGGGGTTGTGTGTGGGTGAATGGGGAATTCCTGGTCCAGAATGGGCCTTGAGAAGGGGGCTCTCCAAAAGCAAGCTACATCAACTGCCTGTTCTAACTACCAGATACATTGATTTCTATACCCTGTAAGGGGTCGAAGTATTTCTGCGAAACACGCTACAACCAAATATATTAAAGCTATTCAATAGAGTTATAATTTGTAAAATACGAAATAAATACTAGTGATCTACATCTCCAAGCGAGTAAATCAGTAAGAACAGTTATTATTCTCCCCATATGAAAAAAAACATAGATTGCTTTAAAAATATATTTTTTTGCTTTGACATTGTACGAATTGGTTACAATTGTTTTGGTTACAAATATTTAAATAATAGTTTGAATTTTTAGTTCCGGTTCGGACCGAACCGGAATCATCCTAAGCTAATAAACACTATTTCATTCCGTTTTTGCTGGATTTTGGTCTATGTACACGTAACACTTTAAGTTTCGCCTTGAGCTGCTTAAGCAATTGATTTTAAAAGTTCACAAATAAAAGAAATTTTACAAAAGTGTCAACTGTCTAGAAGTTAGAATAAACACTTTCGAAATAACACTTAAGTCTACAATGAATAGCCCTGAAACCGTTGATGGTCCACTCAAGCTTCTTATTCTTCTCTAGGTAGCTAGAGGTTACTAGCGGTGCTAGTGATTCCTCAGTGCCTCGTTAATGACACGCAGAATTTCAATTTGAAGTTCGGTAAAAGCCACCGGCTCCAGCTGAGCATTACGTATTTTCATGGCCACTGCCTTGAAAAACGCACCAATTTCATCATCCTCACCAGAATTGTGGCCATTGCTGGGAGGGAACTCCATGTGGTTGGGTTTGTTGGGCGTAATGGGCGCCGAGTGATAGCGAGAGGTGGAAGTGGAGCTGGGAGTAGTGGCAGCGTTTTGGTAACGAGGAGTAGTGGGAGTCTGAATCTCCAGTTTTTGATATTCACCAGTTGACTGTAGCTGCTGATGTTCCAGGCTGGTGGCTCCTTCGCTGAGCGTCTCCTGTTTGGTCATGGAACTGGTAACGCTTTGAACAGCCATGTACACGGGTCCGTCCTCGTAATCATAAGTCATTACATGCTGCTCTTGCTGCTGAGGAGTTTGCTCCGCCGCCGTTGTGGTTTCCATCTCCTCATCCTCGTCATCTTCTTCCTCATCATCATGATGTGCATCCCCATTGATGTAGTTCTCGATGTCCATGTCATCGTAGGTGGCCACACACAGCTCGCTGGCCTGTTGTTGCTGCTGATGCTCCTCCTGCTGATGCTGGGTGCTGGTGTGGTCTGCCTTGTGGGGTCCCGTCAAATGGGGCAGGGCGGGCATGTTCAGCTGAGAACTCGACGAAGATGATTCCAAAGTGCTCTGCTGCGTGGGCGGCGAGTGTGAGTGGACCATCTGCTCCTCCAGTTCTCTCACTGGGTCATTTTTGGGTAGCAACATACTGAGTTGCGCATCACTATCCCTGTAAGAAATAAATAATTTTTTTCAGTCTTGATCGACTAAGTATGCAATATTTAACGTGAACGGAGTCCCTCTTTTCTTATAAAAATCACAAAGCTCTCTTACAGCGTCTTTTGTTGTATGTACTTTTGCAGGAAACTGAGCGAGTCATAGTGCTTCCAACGCGAAGTGGCGTCTATGTGCATCAGTGTCCTTAGTCGCTTGTGCTCGCGTGCATATTGGTCCCTCAAAGCCTTCCACTTTAGCCGACACTGTTTTACTGAAATAGTTCATGCAAATTATTAGTATGGATGATTCCAGGTATTTATTTAGCACCTACCCGACTTCTTTAGCTTTCTGGCGATTTCCTCCCATACCTCCATCTTGAGCTTGGCATTGCGATAGTTTTCGTTGCCGTAGTTGTAGATCATATCCTCCTGCTGGATCAACGTAATCAGTTCTTTCTCGAAGTAGCTCTCCATGTTAAGAAAGGTGTGTATGGGATCGTCGTCCTCTTCCTCGGCATTTGTCGATTGATTGTGCGATGCGGAAGTAGTGGATACGGTCGAAGTTACTGTTGCTGCTGAGCCTGACTGATTGGCGGCATTCACGCAGTCCACTATTTCGTTGTAGAGCGTGTCCACCACAGTGGTTGGGTTGGCGTTTCCACACTGCACTATGATTGATGGAGTGGAACCGCCTCCCGCATCGGTCAGATAGTTCCAGTTGCTTTCCGGCTGCGTCTGCATTTGTTGCTGCTGCAAAACGGCTCCAATGTGGCTGGCCAGGAAAGTGGCTGCGGGCTTCTTATCGGCTGAACTTGATGAACTGAAGCTGCAGTTGTCCAGCAGCGTGGAAGCACTGGCATCTTCGATCTTAATGCTGCCGGAGAGGTTGAGGTTCTGGCTGCTGCTGTTGCTGCTGAAGGAAGTACTCAGGGGCAGCGATATGGGTGTTGTCGCAGAAGCAATGCCATTGGTATTCTGGCCAGATCTTCCCCTGTAACTGAGGAGTAGTGGGAAAATTAATGGTATTAATCGGCACAAATCATACAGGATTATTTGATCAGATTACTAAAGAAGAGAAAAATATTGGAGTGGCCTGCCCAACTTACTTCCTTGCCAGCGCATATGGACGCAGGAAGTCCAGCTCCTTGAAGTACTTCCACTTGACCGCTTTGGTACAGGCCTTGGCGCGTTTGAGTTCCCGGCAGTACTGGTCCCTCATGGCCTTCCACTTCGACTTGCACTGCACATCTGCGAAAGAGGAGGAGTGACATCTTTGGGTGGCCCATGGGCTGACGTCCACTCACCTGACCAGCCCACATTGCTGCCGATCTCCAGCCATTTCTCGTCCTTGGTCTTGGTGCTCCGGTAGTTGGGGTGCTTGGGGTTGTAGAGCGACTGCTCCTGGGAGACCAGCGAGATGAGGATCAGCTCCTTGGGAATGCTGACCACATTCTCGCCCAGACTCGCGTCTATGCTGAGATTCACGAGCTGCTGCTGCGGCTGCTGGTGCTCCTGCAGCTGGTTGGCACACGGCAGCGTCTCCATCGCGCTTCCTACTTTGCATCCATGCTGGCGGTGTGTTTACTTGGGTAATTTGTATAAATAAAAGCAGGGAAAACAAAAATGAGGTGACCGAACAGCTGAGAAATTAGAGGGGCCAGATTTGAGGCAGTCATATTGGAAAGAACACCTAAGGGTGCCAAACTGGTCACCCTAATTTGTTCAGTGTTGTAAAATAAGAATTTATATCCCTAAGTTGGCAGCCCGCATTATCGTTTAATTTTGATTTTTGGCGCCCAACAATTTACCTTAGTATATATTTGTCTTCAACGGCTAATCCAATTAGCTAATTGCATTACCGCTAGGAAAAAAAGAAAACATCATAACAAGCGGGCGAAACAAATTGTTTAAAGCTCAGTTTATTGTGCGACTCCGTGCGGCTGAAAACTATATCAATCGTCCTCGCAAGTATTGCTCGCGTCCTCCTTTAATTAATGCTTAATCATGCCAAAAATTGATGCCGAAACACAAAAACTTTACGACGAAATCAATGGCATGATACAGAAGTTTAAGGTGAATAATTACTTAGGATTTAACTTAAACTACTACCACATTACCAAAAAAAATAAATAAAAATAATAAAAAAGACCATTATTTCCTACAACAAAATTTGTATAACTTTGTATACTTATGTAAATTTAAAAAAGCCAACATTTTTACAAAACCAAAGTAGTGTACCAAACAGAAGGAACAAGGAAAAAATCAAAAAATAATTAAATCAAAACGCATCATCCCTTTAAACGTTTTATAAAGAAATGAATTAATCTTTAATAACTAATAGCTCTGGCAACCAGTTTCGTTTCGAATTAAAAATTCAATTCATTCTATTACCAGTAAAATGAACCTTCTTAAACAAAATCAGAACTCAGAACGTTCTTTACATTTAAATCTGGGAGCTCAACTTTGCTTTCTAAAAACACGGAGCTCAGATGTTTTAAAACTTTGGAAACAAGATGAAGAAAGGTTAAAAATGATCGAAAACATAATAAAACATTAAAATGTCTACTTATTTAGCATTTCGATGTATAATAATGTATATAATGTGACATAATCAGGAGTGGCATAGAAATCTCTTCGTGCGATATTCAAGAGCAATTCTTAGGTACACCAATATAAGTTCCATCCGAAGGGGTTCAAATTGGGATATTTTAAAAATAATTTATTAATCAAAGAAATCTCCACCACTATCTATTAGGATGATCAAAAATCTAAAGCTGATTGCACGTTGGCCGACAAATGCGGCGACATGGGGGATGTCACCAAGATTCGATTCTCGTCGAAGAAGATCCTCAAGGGCCACATCAACAAGGTAAACTCGGTGCATTTCGCAGGAGACTCGCGTCACTGCGTCACCGGATCTCTGGATGGCAAGCTGATTATTTGGGACACCTGGACCGCCAACAAGGTGCAGATCATCCCGTTGCGATCCGCCTGGGTGATGACGGTGGCCTTCTCGCCATCGGGCAACTTTGTGGCCTGCGGCGGAATGGACAACCAGTGCACCGTGTACGATGTGAACAACCGAGATGCCTCCGGAGTGGCCAAAATGGTCAAGGAGCTGATGGGCTACGAGGGATTCCTTAGTTCCTGTCGATTTCTGGATGACGGGCATCTGATCACCGGCTCGGGGGACATGAAAATGTGGGTTATCATAAATGTTAGCACAGAAGTCTTGAGCAATATATGTGAATATGATCTTCGGTAACAGCTGCCATTGGGATCTGGAGAAGGGCGTCAAGACGATGGATTTCAATGGACATGCTGGAGATATAGCTGGTCTATCGCTTTCGCCCGATATGAAGACTTATATCACTGGCTCTGTGGATAAAACTGCCAAGTTGTGGGATGTACGCGAAGAAGGCCACAAGCAGATGTTTTTCGGCCATGACATGGACGTGTCTTCCGTCTGTGTGAGTAAACATTATTCTTATATATAATGTCCAGTAACATAAAAGAACAGATTTATAAAAACAAAAGGAATTAACGTAAAGTCAACAAAACAAGCATCGAAGTCTTCTTTATCAAAGCCTTAAATTGATTCTAAATAGTGCGCGAATGACAGGTTTCTTCAATTGCAAAAATAAGGGCTGTAAGGATCGAAAGGCGTATTTTAGTCCGCTTAAATATTTTTTTAATTTGTGTCTTTAAGTCGTTGACACAACGATGTACATGGTTACCAAAAATATTGTCAAAACATTTTATTTACTTTATGCATCTGCATTTTCTCTACTCGCCAAAAGTGATTAATAACTTTTATAAAAAACTTTTTAAGTAAAAAGCAAATATAACTGTTCTATTTTTAAGTATTTCATATATCTATGGGACCAAAGAAGAATAAAATACCAAGAACTCGCGGTTCTTGTATGGTAATTTGTCCCTACTTTAAGTGATTTTGTATTTAAAGTTATTTTGGTCCTCAAATTAAAGAGTGAAATCTATTCGTTTCTCTCTAATAAAACGTCAGAAAAACATCGATGTTATAGATAAACATCGATGTTTGAAAAATATCAGAAGTATCGATAATATCGATACTGACATCGATAATTTTCAAGCTCTAGTTCTTAGAAGTTCTTAAAGTCTTTTAAATAATAATAGTTATTTGGAACTCATTTAATGCAAATCAAATAGTAAATAAATAAAATTTCTTGCAGGAAAAATGCGAACTAGTCTGAAAAACAACTAAGTTATATAACTAATATAACCAGAATTTGTCTGGATGCATTTGGACTACACAGGGTCTAGAAAATTTGTGCTAGTCGAAAAAATGAATAATACACAACTAGAGAAAAAGCAAGTTGTCTCGGACTGGTACCTTTCTGACAAAAAAAAACCTTACATATATTTAATTGGTAGAACAAAAGACAACTGGAATTTAACTAGTTGCGATTGAAACGCATATGATCCAAAAATGTTGCCTAGGGTGTAAATGTTTTGGGAAATTTAACACAAAACCAATCAAACTGAATAGGTTCTCGGTTTAATCCCCAGACTTTGTAAATTATTTTTTTGTTTGCTAGATGATGATTTAGTTTTATTTTGAACTTAGTTTAATCTGACCAAAGCAATATATATGTGAAATTAATTGAACTATGTCACACTAAAATTCTTAAACCTTGTTAGGGCATTACAAAATGTGATGCGTGTACGGCTTAACAGCTGTAACAGTAAATTGGTTAACAGCAACTAGTGAAAAACTGGTAACAAATAAATTAGTTGTTTCCGATGACAAGCATATGAAAAAGGGACCAGTTCGTTACAAGGGAATGGGCATAACTTGAACTAGTTAACCTTCCTGTCCCAACTAGTATTCTGCTGGTCCAAAACTGATTTCGTTTCCTGCAGGGTTATTGTAAAATTTATACCCGTTACGGTTCCTAGTTAGAATTATAACTTTAACTGAAATGCATTTATATTGCCAAGGAGGCCACGCCCACTCTGCCCACAGATTGCAAATTTAGCCAATAATGTAACTAAAGTTCAGTCACTTTTTTAATGTTTTTAACAAAGTTACGCTCTCTAGTTTAAATAATAATATTAAACCATACATACCGAAAAATTATTTCATATTAGAATGTGTGGTCTTTCTTTCACTATTTCAGTACCATCCAAGTGGCTACGGGTTTGCCTCCTGCTCGGAGGATCAAACAGCGCGAATGTACGACTTGAGGGCGGACCAGCAAATCGGGCTGTACGAGCCGCCCCAGAAGAACACGGGCTTCACTTCGTGCGGTGGGTTGTAGTTCCCCGTCTTAGTCGGTGCTCTTGGTCGCCTTGACTTTTGACAGGTTTTAATCTGATTTTGTGTCCCCATTAGCGCTATCGACCAGCGGACGCTACCTCATGTGCGGCGGCATTGAGGGCAACGTGCACTCGTGGGACACAATGAAGCAACGGCACACGGGTGGGTATTGGGTATTTTGTATTGGAAAGTGGGCATTGGGAACTGGGTATTTGGTATCCATTGCACTTTGCGGATTCCGCGATGTGGAATGGGGCTGGGTAGCCTCATGCTCAGACTGGCACTTGACTTACATCGATTTGTTGACTCTTCTTTCCACTTGGCATTCCTCCTTAGGCACACTGTCTGGTCACGAGAACCGCATCACTTGCATCAGCCTGTGCCCCAATGGCATGTGTCTATCGTCCACCAGTTGGGATCAGCAAGTGCGTCTGTGGCTCTAATCGGCTCCGATCCGGGTTCAATTTCGTCGAAAATTATACGTGCAGTTTGTTTGCAAACTCAAGTCGCATTACATTAACTCAGTTTACGAAATTTAGCTGATTATTTTGTTTCGGATCTGCAGAATTCTTTTATAATTGTGTAAAATTGCAAGCAAAGCGTGCGTATAATTATAATATTTAATTGCTTAATTAACTAACGAGAACGTAGCCTCCAGAATTTAGAAAGTGCAAATTGGAAGTGCGATAATAAAATGTATGAAGTAGTACTACCAAACCCAGCTGAATTTTAAATTATATTTTCAATGGGGAGAATAGTTATCTTTATCAATTAATATTCCCTTGACCCCCAATTAAAACACCATTGCAAATAAATTTTTTTATATATTTTTTATATTTTTCTTATAAAAAATACTTATACAATTACGAAGATATTTTTGCTGCTGCGATTTTTGGCGCTTGGTTTTGTTTGTTTGTGAAAATTGTCTTTGAGCTGGTCAAAGAAGCAGCGAAGTAAGTTAAAACAAATCACTTTTAAAATCAACAGAAAGATAGATATAAAGGAGAAGCATACAGATGTAGATGGATAGTGGAGTGGAAGAGAAAACAAGAGATGGAGTCGGAAAATAGAATTCACATAAATAATAGCGGAAAGAAACTGGTTTAGGATCACACAAGAAGCAAGAGGCAACAATTTGAGTATTTCTGTGGATGTTTCAACAAATTCTCGCTTGTACAGTTTGTTAGGGCTTTTCGTTGTTTAGTTTATCAGACTCTCGGTGGAACTACTGTGAGTTGTTCTCCTGTTTGGGAAGATGGAAGAATAGCGGCGCGGTCCCTAGACGGAGAAGCCGTCGCCGGTGGGATCGAGGATCCAGGGGTAGTTGTTGGGGCACTCCATGCACGTGAACAGCCGGAGGGTCTCGCCGGGCAGCTCCCTGGTGGTCAGCGGACACGCGTTGGGCAGCGAGCAGTAGGGCTGGCCCTTGACGTCGCACTTCTCCTTCCACTCCTGGAAATCGCGCAGCGAGTTCAGCTCGGTGGGGTTCTGCATCCACTGGATCACCTGCAGGTTGGTCACGAAGAACACGTCGTTGCGGCCCAGCATCTCCTCGATGAACTTGACCAGCTCGTCGCGGTACTCCTTCTTCGACTTGAGCCACGAGGCGTGGAAGTGGAGGCCCAGGGGCGCCCTGTTGCTGTTGTAGTGGCGGTTGAAGTTGTGGCGCAGCAGGCGGGCGAACTGGTCGCCGCTGGCCACGTTGGAGCACGAGTCGACCATGTGGCAACCGGGCAGCGACTCGTCGAAGGTGGGGTCATCGCGGCGGTCCAGCTCGTTCATCACCATCTCCCACACGGGGTGGCTTCGCGAGGGGCAGTTGTGGGCGTTGCCGTTGCACTTGTGCGGCATCCGGAAGTACAGGGTGTACGGCCAGATGGGCACGCGGCCCAGGGAGGCGGTGATGGAGGCGTCGTAGACGAAGAACTGGTCGGCCATCATCTCGAACTGCTTGTTGCCGCCCACGCGCAGGTAGGGAGCCCTCATGCCGATGATCGAGCCGTCGGTGATGTTGGCGAATCGCTCCACGATCAACCGGGAGCCGGCCATCTCCGCCAGCCAGTCGTCGTAGCTGCCGCCGGTCCAGTAGTTGGGGTCGTCCTTGTGCGTCAGCGAGAACACGGAGATCTCGTGGCCGCGACGGTGCAGATCCTGCACGGCCGAGTAGTTGGTGTACTTGTGCGACACGAAGAAGGTGCCCTTGATGGAGCAGCCGTTGGGGTTCTGCCGCTGGCCGTTGAAGATGTCCTCGTACAGGTCGATGTTGTCCACGTTGACGGCGCCGTTGAAGGTGATGGTGATCATCTGGGGCACCTGCTGGGGCTCAATGCCGCCGGGAATGCGGGTTCCGTCGGCCGAGCAGAAGCAATCGGGCAGGGCGCACTGCGTGGGATCGCATTCGGGGGCACGGTTGGGATCCTCATCGACGGCTGGAGATGGGACATAATTTCGGATTACTACTGGGGCCTCCTTTTACAATTTAGAATAGGTTGTAACATAATAATTGCATAAAACTTTACATAAAGTGATACAAATTCTTTAAATATTCACTTTTCGGATCTTTTGTGAAGTGTACGCTTAAATGTAGGCTACATATTTTTCAACAGCGCAGTAAGAGTACTACTCTACTTTCCAAAACAGAAGCCTCCAGAATGGGAGTAAAAGCAGGATATACTTACAGCAGGCGTTCTCGTCGGACTCGTCCTTGCAGTCGGACTTGCCGTTGCAGAAGAGCTCCTTGTCCAGGCACTCGCCGTCGCCGCAGGACAGCTTTCCCTCGGGACAGATGGGCTCATCCGTCTTCAGGATGGGCTTGGCCTTGCGGGGTTCTGTGGAAAGGAGGCTCCATTAGTGGGGGAATCTTTTGCGAGTGGTTAAGGCCGGTGGTGGTTAGTGACAACAAATGTCTAAATTTCGAAATGAGAAGTATTTACATGAGTGTGATGGGTTAGAACGGGTGGTGTTAGTTTCGAGCTGGGTTAGGGTTTGTTTCTTTCTTGGATCTACCAAAGTTCCGGAAGTCTAACATTGCTGACTACAGTATGTACAGGTGTTGGTTGGTTGTTTGGTTGTTTGGTTGGCCGACTTTGTCTGGCTAGTTGGTCGTCACACTTACTCTCTTTCTCGTCGCAATTGGTCACCTTGGCCTTCCAGTCGCAGGTCTGCTTGATCACGTCGAAGGCCAGACCCGAAGGACACTGAATTTCTTTCAAACCCGACTTGGTACATCTACAAAATAAAGTTCATGTTCTGATTTCGTATTGGCGTTGCTAGCTAAGAGAACTTTGGCACCGATTCGGGGGATTCTGGTTCGGGGGTTTATGCAATGAATCGATCGATTTGATTTTAGTCGATTCGATTCGGGGCTTCCCCGGTTTTAGTGACACACAGAGAGAGACACACACACAGGGGGGTGAGAGACAGAGAGACATAGAGAGACAGAGAGATAGAGGGGGATGGATAGTAGGCTTAGGATCGTGGCTCTCGGGAAGTATCTTGAGCCGCAGGCATCCGCAGCGGATTGAACTGGGTGGCGTCACTTACTCTCGAGCACATCGCAAGACTTCACATTCGACTTCCAATCGCAAAGTTGGCGCAGAACATCGAATGCCAGGCCGCCGGCGCAGCGAATCGGCGCCAAACGCCATGTGCCATCTTCGCCGGCACTGTCGCACCTTTCGATACCGATACAAGAAGGTGCAAGAATACGTTTGTAGGTGTTGTGGGTGTTGGAGTGCGGGCTATCAGCTGTCTCAACTGGACGATCGGACAATCGGCTATTGCCTGGGGTTCGGCTTACCTGTACACCTCGCGGCAGTCGCCGTCGGTCTCCAGGCGGAAGTACTCGTCCGCGGGACGATCGGCGCACACCTCCTCGACGTCAACGCCCTCCAGTTTGTCCTGGCCATGTGCTATGGGGATTGGGAAGAGGTTGGATTAAAAAGGGATCGACGGGGGATCATTCAAGTCATATAGCCACGTTTGTTTAATTTTTAGCCAATACCAACATATTTCTAGTTCTAATTTTGGGGCATCTTGTATGTTTTAGTGCCTAAGGAATACCCCTTGATCAATACAAGCGGAACATAACCGCTTTTGGGCGGAATCGGATTATCGATCAGAGTAATGTGGACCTTCTTCAACCTAAACTCTGGTACATTCCTCGACAAATTAATCAAGTTTGTATAGGGTAGTGTATTCGGTCTCTAGAAATCATTTAAACTTAACTGAAGTCTAAGAAATCTGTACTCATGTTGGCAAAAAAGTAAATAATGCAGTATACACTTAATAATTTCGGATTTTTATCAATCTATATAATCACGTTTTCTTTGGTATCTCCGTGATGGGTCCAGATTTCTGTCGGGCTCAAATGAATTTTTTACATATAAAGCATCTGGTTGAATAAAAATGATTACATATTATCTTGCTATAAAAGTATTGATTATATATTCACAAAACTTGTTATTTACAAGTTTTTTGAAGTAATTTTTTTAAATTTATAATTACGAATTTTTATAGTCAGGGTAGTAGGAAAAGTCGGAAAATTTTTTTAAAAAGAAAGAGGTAAAAGCCGAACCACTGATTGCAATTGACCGGAGACACTACCTCAGAATGAAAATTAAGGTTTAAGAAGGTTTGGAAAAAAGTAGTTATTAAGATAAGGTATTCTTATTCTAAAATATACAAATAAAAAAAATATATTGTTTAATCTAACTGTAAGTCGTTGCTTTAACGCATTTGATTTTAATGCGATGGCAATGTTTCTTAGCCAACATTTTAATTGTCGGAACCCATCAATGGTATCTTTATGGGCGCCATTAATCATTGACGTTCTAAGAGTTAATCGGTGGATTGGACCATTATAATAGGCCGCACCTCATGGGTTAACCGTTAGCTTACTCCCAACACGAACGTCGCGACGTTCAACCGGTTTTGGCCGTTAGTGTGGAAATACGAGTACAACTTCTAGCCGACCATAACCACTCTCATTTTTGTTCATAACAGTTTTGTCTCCATCTCGTTCGGTTGAAATCGAAAGGGCAAACGAAAGCGGTACATCCCATTTATAGGCACAGATCCACATTTGTGCGGACGCGGCTTTTTGGCCACTGGGGAATGCTGGTGGATCGGATCGTATCGTATCGGATCCTATAAAATCGGTTTGTCATGTAAGGTGTCTGCCCAAACGGGTTTGTGCATTGGCTAACTGTTGGTTTTGTTGTTTCTGGTTATTGAAAACCCGTTTTCGGTTTAACATTAAAATGATATTGCATAAACGACGATGGCAAGCCAAAAAAAAATGAAAAAAAAAGTATGAAAACGGAACCGATGTCAGTCGTCTGGTTTTGTTCGTTTTCCTATGCTAATTTCGTTTGATGGCCAGCTCCGGTTTCGTCCTCATGCCACAGATTTTAATCTTTTTTCCGCCATCTCTTACATAATTGACTGAAGGATAAGTTTGATCGATTGCATGCCGCTAATGACTTGGCTCAACTGTGATTCAACATCATCGTACTTTTTCAAGTTTACTTGCCTTGGCCAACGACCGAGGCGAAGCCAAGTGGTTTGTTTTTATTTGTATTTCTCTTCGGCAGCCTTGCGAAAAGTGGCGAAGTTTCCACCGCCAAAGGTCAAATGCTTAACTCTAGGTACTAGGTACTAGGTGCTAAGTGCTAAGTGCTAAGTGCTAGGTGCTAGGTGCTAGGTGCAACCGCTTAAAGTACTCACCGACTGCCATGCAGAGGCACACAACGCTCAAAATTGGCCACCAACGCGCCATGATTGATTCCAGAGCTCTCTGCGGGCGGAAATCGAAAGGTTAGCAACACAAATCACAATGATCGCAGTACTTATTTATGGACGGTACATCGAGCAATGCACACAGGTAAAGAAACTTTGGAAAACTCTACTAACTTTTGCCCAGACTCTGAGTGGGAATGCTTGGATCGAATGGAAGTGGAGTGAACGGAGGCACTCTTCCAATACACAGCCACGCTTACACTAGGTGTTGGCCACCAGCAACGGGTTCTATTTATCAAGCCGAGGTGTCTTGGCCGGCTTTGGCGCCGTGGTGGATTCCGGCCAACCCACCACGGCGCTGCGCCGGCGCAAAAGCTTTCGAGGGGTGAAGCCGCCTGCGCGCCTTGTGGATCCCATTCCGAAATGCCAAGGTACGCAGGCGTATCGTCTCTCCGTTTTCTTCGATGTGTGAAGAAAGGTTAATTAGCATTTACAGGCGCAGGTGGGAGCGGGATCGGTCCGTATTTTACGATCGATTGTGCGGGGGATTTGATTTCGGTTTTGTTTTTGTCAGACGACTGCACCCCATGGGCTTGTTTACTCCGCTAGTTAGTCATCCGCTTAGACATAAATCAAATCCGAGTGCCCATCAATCTCTTTCTGCCGCCGACCCTGAATTTCCGAGTCTTTTGTTTGAACATCTGCGGCTTCGCTATATCTCGATTCTATCAAAACTATTATACGAAATCTCGATTTCGTAACTGTTTTTTTCTGTTTTGCTCTCCTCCTAAACTGTTTTCTTCTGCACGTTTATTGTCTAGTTGATTTTTATTTTCACCGAAACGAGCCGAGAATCCCAATGGGCCGAGGTGAGCACACCTGATGCATATTAAAAGGGGTTCGTTCGGTCGGGTCTCGAAGCTTCCCAGAGGCTCTGCAGCGATTATTTGTATGCCAATCGCAGCTGTCGCATAAAATTCTTGTTAACGTGGCTAAGACACTAAAAGGTTATTAAACCTCCAACGACTCGAGTGTTCCAGCAGAAGAGAGTCTTATTTCGAGTGTCGCTGAGTCACAGTGATTAAATTTGACTGCACTCCTGCCGAAGATCATGAGTTTTTTAATTAATGCCAAGCCGATGATGCCGTTGTTAACTGTTTTGTTACCCCCTTCTTTATTTTTCTTTTCATTTTTTTGCACTCCCCAGTTGCTGTTATGTAAAGCAGATAAAGGAGATGCAGGCGCAGCAACAACAAGGCGTTTTAAGGGCCGCATACCAGCCAACCTACCGACAGTCTGCTGCCTGTTATTCAATAACCCATCCAAAGTGGCTACCAAAACCCGTAAGTGTGAGCACAAAAAACGGCAACAAAGCGGAGCATGTTTGCGGATATAAAATTGTTGGGGACAACTTGCGTACACTTTTGTGTACGGTACACAAATCTCTGGGCTCCCTGTAACGGAACGGAGCATAAACAGAAAATACCAATATTTGTCTTATAAATAAAGCATTGGATAAGTATTAGTACTAATCAGAAGAGAAATATTATTCAGAAAATGAGTCTTGGGTATACTGAAAATAACCCATAGTGAAATACTTGTTGCTGTATAATATTACGAAAGTATGATTTTTAAGCTTGGATTTTTATTACCTTTTTAAATGTTTCTTAACACTAAAAATACGTTTTTGTACTTTTATTATTATGATTTCTTTTAACTTGAATCGGCTGGAAATCAGAATTAGGAATAATTAAACAATATTTAAAACCCAGACAAACATATTGATTAAAAAAATTTCCAGATGATTTGACACTGTATTTTTGTAAACTTGGTTTGGAAAGCTGCAAAGAGCCTAAAGATAATTTCGATTGCCAAGATAAATTGATCATGAGTATCATATCTGGCCCGTCAAGTATTTTCTTAATATTACCACTTTTGCTTTTATATCCAGACTGCTTCACTTAACCACAGATCACTTGAGCGACAGAATGGCCAACGGACAGACAGAAAACCCCCAGAGCAATGTCAATTAAGTTTTATTCGTGTCCGATCTAGAAGGAATCGAGTGGTGGCGTGTTAATGCAATTTATTCGAGTATTTCCAGTATATTGTCATACAGCACATTGCATAGTTATTTCCTGAACTTGAAAACGAGTTCTGTCATGTCGCAAAAGAGAACATAAGTCAAATGAGAATGCAGAAAGGCCAACATGGCGTATGAGTGTTTTTTATTTTTTGCAGCGGGTGTGCTTCGTGCAGTGGAAAATTCTCGGAATCGCAACTGATCACAATTATATTTTAATTGCCATTGGCCAATTGGGGTCCAACTGGAGTGCCGGCGGTGAAGGCTGCCAATTGGCACGAAGAAGCTGCAAAAAGCTGTTCACCTTCTTCTGCGCGAAATGCCGATTGCAGCATTTTCTTAGTTACAATTAATTTCAGCGCTCCGCTGGTGATATAATCCCTCAACCGCATCTCACCGAAAGCCAACAAAAACACTGATTATTATTATTACTTCTCGTCTTCTTCTTGCCGTTTAATCAACTGTTAAAACTGGTTTTTCAATTAGAGTGAAAATGTTGATGATATGATGGCACCCAAAGCGATGAGCAGATGAAGAGTGAAAATCGTTTTATTTTATCATCTTTTTTTCCATGGGTTTTACGGATTTACATAATTTAGTTGCCCTCGATTTTGTCGATATGTAGTTGTTGGCGCAGCCACCGTTGCGATTGTTATTGCCTTTGATTTGATTTAAATTTGTAAGCGTTTTAACCTTTTTTCGCAGCTGTTTGTGGCGTTGGAAAGGTCGTCCATTCGAGTTTTCAGAGTGAATGACACACTTTTGATTTGAAAAGAGCCAAACGCCAAAAGCTAATCCAAATCAGCAACGCCCATGGGCTTTTCCATAGTCCTTCGACCAATTAAAGCGAATTATTTTGCATACGAAATGAAAAGCCAAACATTTTAGTGTAGCCACCTGTCTACGCTTACGATTCAAACGAAACGATAAATAAATGTAGTTCTTTATAATTTTAGCCCCTTTGATTATGAGTCAGCTTAGTAATTTATTAATTAATCTTTAACTTTAGGTTATTATGTGCTTTGGGGCACTCATATTATAACGTAGATACAATGAGGATCGCTAAAGTCAAGTCCCTCAACTGGCAGTTATCCATTACTTTCAGAGTGTTAGAATTGAAGTGGGCGTTGCCGTCGACCCGTCGATGAAACAAATGCATTTCAGTTAGAATTATAGTTCAATCAAAACACAACCAACTTTTGATGCGCAGAAATCCCTAGAATCTGCATAAAAATGTAAAATTAAATGCCATAATGTATTAAAATGTCGGAAAACATTGGTATTTTGTATCTTAGAAATACTGTAGGTACAATGACCCTGGTACATACATAAGTTTAGATGATATGATTTTACTCAGGAGCAGGAAATATCATGGAAAAGTAGAAATGGTTTATAAATTTTGTTTGGTACTGTGTAGTCGCCAAAACACCTTTGATTTTTTAAATGTTTTTTTACACCTCGATTTTTACCTGAATTGCTGAACTTAAGGTATTATTGATTTCTGTGAATGCTCAGCTACAACAAATAAAATAGTTTTTCAAAGTTTACCGATGTAAAAAAAAAAATAAGCAAGACCATTAAAAATAAACATAGCCCAACTTAATAAATAATATACTTTTTTTACAACTTTTATTCAAGCCAACTAAAGGTGTTCTTGGAAAGAAGAATATTAAAAACTAATAAACGTAGAGAAAGAGTGTGTTTTAGAGGGGAAAAGAGAAATTGGTTTTTGTAAAAAGCACGCAAAGCGGAATTGTTAATGAAGGAAATGGTGGCCAAGACAATAAACCGAAGTCGAAGTTGAAGATGAGCCTGTAAGCCGTATGTAAAAGAAATGCATAACCATAAAAAATACCAAAACACGAGCTGCGTTGCATAACTCCGCGCCGCCCTTGCCCCTCCGAGTCTCCTTTCCGCTGGCTATATCTTCAGCTCCGATCCGCCGGGGAGCGTTTAATTTATGGCACGCCGAGAGCATCGAAGGCCTGCAGCAAATAACGGACTTTCTTTTTAGTTTGTCTTCAGTATATTGAATCCGATCTGTGCGAGTGTTTGCCTTTGACTTTCAATTTCCATTTCCACTTCCATTTGAAAACTCATCAGCTGCGATCTGTTTTTTAATTGCTTGGCGTTTGCATCTTCATCATTATGCAATTATTGTTTGTTTCGCCGACGGTGTCTTCAACTTTTCACAAATGGCCTGTCAAAAATTGCGATTTCTGGTGATCTGCTGATCACCTGACAGCTGCAGCGAAACGAATCACTTATCACACAACTGGAAGCTGATGACTTTGCCTTGCCGCATTGACGTCACCCTACCCACTGAATCAAAACGCCGATCCCAGAACAAGGAAGCATATTCGAGAATTAAGTATACGACCTGGCTAGCTGTGGCGTCAACTTGTCGAACAGTGGACTCAACCGCTTACAACATTGAAGAATGACAAACCTTTTCTAAAACCAACTTTAACTAGCAAAAAATATATGTTAGTTGCCAATCAGTTTTTGAACAAACCCAAGGCATTAAAAGTATGCAGTATTCTAAGTATGTATGTATATGCCAACGGCTTATTATAAGTTATAGCGCTCGTTTTTATTCTGATTGAAACCGGTTCGTAAAGCACGTTACTCTATATTTAAGTGTGCTTATTAATTTGAGATTCCTACAAACAGGATGAACTAATTAGTTTAATTTATGCATATTTCTATAACCGACAACTTCTAAGGGCCGGTTTCTCGAGTGCCGGCTAACATTTCTCGAACAGATAAAGTCCCTGCTAAGGCATTTTGGCTTTCTCGAGCATAAATGTGAGAGCTAACTTTGACAGGGACTCGGAGTCCCTGTTAAGCGTTTTCGACTCGATAGAATGACAGCTGATTTCCCAAAGCCAACTATGAAGATGAAACGAAATTTCAGCTGACTTTTCCTTTAAATTATACCCAAACAGCTGATGAAATAATCGAAGCACGCCATTTTTTACCCTTCACAGCACAATTCTGTGCGTTAACAGCACTCTGTAATTGTTTCTCGTTCAGATAAATTTAAGCAGTCGAGAAAGCCGATTTGCTTTGACGAACAGTTTATCTGGTCTTTAAGTTTTTCGAACAGATAGCTATCAGGGACTTTGACAGGGACTCGAGAAACCGGCCCTAAATGAAATATTATTCGACAAGAAAGAAAGCAAGCTAAGCCGTTAGATTGGATTCTAATTTTAATAAAGATTATCATAACTTTCTGTAGAGAAATGTCTAATTATAATATCTTTATCAATGTAAGTCAGACAATATAAAAGTGAAATTAATTCAAATGTCACGTTAATGATCCTTCTTAACAAAGTTTTCTATACACTGCGACCCACTGTGCCGAGCAGCCTACCTTCCTACCTGCCCGTTGTCGTTTTCTGTGCAATTTATGCAAATCGCCCACTTTGCAACTAGTTCACTTACCTCGGCTCGCAAAAGTAAAAGTTTGCTCAAGTTACAATCGTACACACCTGAGCGTAGGGAACTTGTTTTTTGGGCCACTTTTGAGCCTCCGAGAGCCGCTTACCTTGATTGGTGATAAAACTTATTTATGCGTCGCATTCGTACCGCGAGATACATACAACAAATCCGTATTTATTTATTTGGCCTGCTAAATGTGTAAAGCATATAAATATTATATGTATTCATATGTGCCTGGTATTTCCAGCCAAAAATTTGCAATGCTTAAAATTAATTAGCAGCTTTTTCGATTTGTTTGGTATTGCGCAAAGAGCCGCGGGCCCAGTCAGGCCGAACCAAATCGAATCTGAATCTGAGTTTGGATCGGAATCGCATCGCATCGCATCGCATCGATCCGAAGCGAAACCAAGCCCAAGAACCTGTTTTGCCATCTCCACCGCCAAATCGCCCTCTGCATTGATTTGTGCGCATACGAATTAGCAAATCTTGAAGCCTTTTATACTTTATGTCTGTATAATATAGACCAATATATCTAATTCTAGACCGGATCGACACTTTGGGGCGATCGGTGTTAGGTGTCCAAAGCGACCGAGCAAAACCAGTCTCGGCATAGGCGAAATTTACATATGAAATGCACATGGGGACGGGACTCCAACTGAAATCGAAACCGAGCACCAAAAACGCGTTATTGTTATTCAAATTTGTGTCTTTTTTTCCCCGTCGGATAATTCCGAAAACTGGTTAGTAAGTCAGTGGGTAGATGGCATACAAATTGGGCTGTGGATTTTTTCTTTCGGCTTTCAGGCTTCTTAGAAATCATATTTCTGTTGCTAGCTAGCTAATACTCACTCGCTGGCACTTGAGGAACAAAAGAGGCGATATTGAGAAATCCAGTATTTGTTTTCTTGATTTTTTGTGGTTTTTTCGTTTTATTTTTTGTTTTTATTTAAATATACACGTACAAATTAACGTAAAACTACAAAAAGAGTGTAAACACAAGTTCGGATGTTGGGGCTTGCAGTTTTGAATATCTTTTGTGGGTTTCCGTGTCGAATTTTCATGTTGTTTAACGTAACCGTAACACAGCAAAGACTTGCTCCTCGAAGTCAGTCAAAAGAGAGTACACTCGTAAAAGTCTTGCAGGAAATTCAAATAGTCGATAATCGATCGAGTGAGTGTGTTGGGATAGAGCTTAGGGTTTGGTGTGAGGTGTGGGCCTAGGCCTGGGCCTAAGTTCGGGTTTGGGTGGGACTAAGACCGCTGACTTAGAAGAAACCATCGCCAGTGGGATCGCTGACCCATGGGTAGTTGTTGGGGCACCGCACGCAGGTCTGCAGGTTGATGGTCTCCCCGGGAACCTCCTTGGAGGTCAGCTTGCAGGTGTTGGGCACCCAGCAGGCGGGCTTGCCCTCCACCACGCACTTCTCCCTCCAGGGCTCGAAGTTCTTGACCTCGCTGATGGTGCGCGGGTTCTGCATCCACTGGATAACCTGGGTCATGGTCACGAAGTAGACGTCGTTGTGGTTGGCCAGGATCTCGTCGATCCAGTAGAGGAAGGCGTCGAGGAACTCGGGGTTGTTCTTCAGCCAGGCGGCGTGGAAGTACAGGCCCAGGGGAGCGCGGTTCTGGTCGTAGTGGCGGTCGAAGTTGTGGTTCAGGAAGTTGTAGAACTGGTCGCCGGTCAGGATGTTCGAGCAGGAGTCCACCATGGCGCATCCGGGCAGGTACTCATCGTTGGCGGGGTCCTCGCGGCGGTCCAGCTCGTTCATCACCATCTCCCAGACGGCGTGGGACCGGGTGGGGCAGCTCTGCAGGTTGCCGTGGCAGCGATGGGGCATCCTGAAGTACATGGTGTAGGGCCACAGTGGCGGATTCGACAGCGGAGCCGTGATGGTGGAGTCGTAGAGGAAGGCCTGCTCCTCCATCATGGTGAACTGGTTGTTGCCGCCCACCCGCAGGTAGGGGGCTCGCACGCCCACCACCGAGTTGTCCGTGATGTTGGCGAACTTCTCCGTGATGATCCTCATGCCGGCCATCTCCTTGGCCCAGTCGTCGACCGTGGCGTTCGACCAGAAGCGCTCCTCGTCGTTGTGCGTGATCGAGTGCACGGCGATCTCGTGTCCCTTGCGGGCCGTCTCCTGCACCGCCGAGTAGTTGGTGTACTTGTGGGACACGAAGTAGGTGGCCTTGATGTCGCACCCGTTGGGGTTCTTGCGGTTCTTGAACATCTCCTTGTACAGCTCGATGTTGTTGTTGTTGATGGCGTCGTCGAAGGTGATGGTGATCATCATGGGCACGTCCTTGGCGGGCAAGTCGCCGGGGATCGAGGTGCCGTCCTCCGAGCAGAAGCAGTCGGGCAGGACGCACACGGTGGGGTCGCAGGGCGGGGCGCGGTTGGGATCGTTGTCGATATCTGTGTGCGAAAAGATCAGGCAAATACGGGTTTAGGAGGAGGACATTTCGGGGTTTTGCTAGGATTAAGAAGAATATGGTAACTTTTATTTGAAATTTCACGATTTAACGAGAAGTATTTAAATACTTATTGCCTATTTATGCATTATTCTTTTAATGTTTATAGCTATTGCTTCAAAATAAATGCGATGTATTTAGTATGGACCTCACATACAGAACCAGATACAAACCCATGATTGAATCATCTTAACTAGCCTGAACTATAGTTCCTAGAACTTTGAAACTTCTCCTCCAGTGATTCAATATTTCTCTCTCTCAATCAAACAAAAACGATCAACGATTTTTCTTCGGCTTCATTTGTTATTGACAATTTGTATTCTGCCTGCGTTCACTTAGCCGGCAAAGGTTCACTCAACTTTTCATATAAATATTTAAGCAATTAGCTAACTGTACAGAGGAAGGCGAAGGGGTTAGTTCAATGAACCGACGCAGTCTGGAAAAGCAATCAAGAGAGGTGGGAAAACCGAAACGCAAAGTGAATGGAAAATGTCTACACAATCCTCGAGTCAGTTTTTTATATATTTTTCTTGCATTATTATTTTGGATTTTCTCGGTTTTGTTTTGAGCAATTTTCAAGTGTTGTTAATCAAGCGAGGCTGCTTTGAAATGCAGGCAGCGTTCACTTATTAGCCACACCCCCTCCCCTTGGCCGAACGAAAGCCCTCGCCACCCACGTGTTGGCCATTTGTTTATCGGCCAAATGCAAATGATGGCTACTCGCTTTGGGCCAACTCAATTGGTAAGCCTTGCACTTGCTGGCCCGCCAAACGGAATCGATTGCGAAAGTTTTCAAAGATATTCGCCGTAATTATTTTGGCGCTGTCTCATTTGGCATTTGGTTTTGGCCAAAGTGAAATGGCAGACATCGTGTGGCATGCAAAGGCCAAAGCATTTTGTCCATCAAGTTTTTCACTCTTTTTTCATTTTGCCGGCTGTGTCTCTTTGTTGACCTTTTTGTGTGTTGCCTCCGCTTTCTTCCCTCCTTGTACCCATTTGCCAATAATCTGTCGTTGGAGTCGAAGTTATGTCATCCCGGACCGGTTCAGCATTCGGTATTCATTGCTCACCAGATCCCCTGGCATTATTGACTTTTTAGGGCCGTGCTTTTATTTATTTTATTTATTTTTGCAGAGATTGCTGGTCGGAGAGTGGCTATTGGAAGCGTGAATGTGTGTAAGCTGGCTTAATATTACTGAAGAGGATGTTGCAAAGATAGAGATGGATTATTATGAAGTCGGGCCAACTGAAGGTGATCGATAAATAATTGTGGGGAATTTTGTTTAACTGAGTTTTGGGGGATTTCGTCGTATTTCTCAGAATTAATTAGGTTAAGTAAGAATCAATTAATCAGTATTCTTGATTGACTTCTTGGAACTATAATCTTGTTCGCATCAGGGAGTCACTTATTTGTGAGTTGTAAAGAATGGATTTATCAAAAACACTATAAGAGACTTGCTTTTAAAAAACATCATAAATATTTATGAAGTTGAAGCGAGATAAACTTCTTCTTTAAGGTTTGCCATGATAATATACATGTTTTTTTTAACTGGGCTTTCAAATATTTGTTTCTTTTGTAGATTTTTGTCGATTTAATTTAAATAATAAATATATAAATATACATTTAACCTTTTTATATTGTGAGAAAACTATCAATCATTTGGGCTTTCGATTTAAATATTTTTTCAAGGCAGTATGAAATGATACGCATTTTTTTTTAATATTCGCTCAACAAATTTCGTTATTCTTATGGCACGTTGGGAGTCATTTCTCAAGAAAAACCCATCAGGCCGCTGCACTATTTACCAACTTTTTAAGTACACTCTCCTCGTTACTTTGACGCTACCATCGAAAACTACAATGTATGACCAGTTAATCGCTCTTTTAATCGCTTGCCATTTGTTTTGGCTCCCGGAGACGTGAGCTTCCTCATTGGGCCCAAAGGCGAGTGGGCTAAACTTGGACTGGAGTTATTCAATTGTTTACGATCACGGGTATGGCTTTATGCTCGGCTGGGCATTTCAAAAGCTACCGCCAGCGGCTGCAGGCAGAAGTGCAAATTTTCGCATTTTATAAATATCCATTGCGATTTGCAATCGCAGTTGGGATCTAACAGAAGCGAGGTTGTTGAAGAGGTCTGATGGCTTGATTTGTTTGGCATTTAATTAGCTCGTTAAGGCAGCGTTTATATGCCAGGCTGGCCTCTTGAGAAATGTCGTTCGTGTCTGAAGAATTATGAGCGCACTCTTGTATTTATAGTAGCGAATATTTGAGTTTGCTATTGGTATTATTATAAATTAGTTGCGGTTTTTACGCGGGCTGCTGTTTCGATCTTTTGTTGCTGTTGTTATTATTATTTTGTATTTATGACTGTGTTTATTTTTCACCTGCTTTTGGCTCGATTTTTGCGGCTTTCTGCAATTGCTAAAAATACCCGAAGCAAATACAACAAACGGTTTTAAAGCCGCTTATGTAAGGCTAATTTACACATGAATCGAGCCACCTATGGAGAGGCATTTTGTTTTCCTTCGATTTGATTTCTATTAAGTCCAAGGTTAGCGCTATTACGATGTTGTTAATTAATGGTTTAATATTTTTTCTCACACATGCTTTATTTTTTCCCCTGTGGCTGTGAGCGGGCAACCAACGGCGTCTGACATTTTGTTTCCATTTCACACTTGACATTTCCACCCAAAAGCCGATATTCATTAGAGATTGGAGTTCACGTCGAGTTGAGTTTTGTTAAGTTTTTTTGGGACTAAGACTGAGCTAAGGGCTTTGCGAAACCGGTTCGTGGGATCTGTGCAACGGAGTCGAATCCGTTGCATGTAGGCGTCATTGGAATCCCCAACCCCCTTCCAAAAAAAGAAACAGACACTTGTGTACCGTTGTCAGAGTTTTCGAGAGTGGAGTTTGAAGTATTCCTCCTCCACTGAGGTAATGTTTTAAATGCCGTCAGCCGGTTTTAAGGTGCGACTGGAATAACTGAAGAAAATTTTACTTGGCGCTCGTCCAAAAATAAACAGAGCCACTGACATCGAACAAAGAAATATGGAATATAGCACTATTAAACAAATATTTTCATAAATTGATCTAAAAAAATATCTCTGCACGCACATATTATACTTAAGCCCCTTGAAGGCTTATATTATTTGAGCCGATGGAGTAATAGCACTCAGCCTCGGGCCTTTGGGAAAGCCAATCCTACAAAAAACACTTGGCGGCGGCTTACTTCTATTGACGCCCCCTCCAATTTGTGCTGAATCACAGTGAATTATTGTTGTCAAATGTCAAATTTAAATGAAAAAGTGCTCCAAAAAATGTGAACGAGTGATCATTGTGTTTACTTTTGGCCCCGCATTATCCGCTATTTTTGATCAATTATTTTTGGTAATTCCATTTTATTGATCCTTGGCAGTAATAGTTGTCTTAATACTTAATGATTGTAACTTCGGCAGGTTAATAAATCAAGCATGAATTGCCCAATGCTTTCAGTACTGATCATATCTTTGGTCACTTTTATGTAATTATTTGCAACAAATTATGAAGTACATACGTGAAAGTAAAAGTTGTATTTATTTATCAGTTAAATTTAACCGACTTGTTTCATTTGTAGAATGTGGGAAATGTAAGGATTGTAAGGTACTCACCACAGGTGTTCTCGTCGGATCCATCTGAGCAATCCTTCTCGCCGTTGCAGAAGAGACCGCGCTCAATGCAGTTTCCATCGCCGCAGGCAAGGAATCCGTCCTGGCACAAAGGCTCGTCCGTGTGCAGCAGAGGCTTCACACGGCGCTCCTTGTTCTTGGACTTGCAGTTCTTCACCGACTCCTTCCAATCGCAAGTCTGCTTCTCAATGTCGAAGTACAGGCCAGCAGGGCAACGAATGGCTTGCAGACCCTGTAATTAAAGAAGAACCTTTAATCAATATAATTTTCCCAAAAACATCCACCTAAATTGGATAGTCTTGTTTGCTTTTTATTTTCAAATAGTTCAAAATAATTTATTTGTCATTTTTACTATGCTGCTAATAACCCCAATTTGTTGCATTATTTTAAAGTTCATCAAAAAACCATACGATCATTTAAATTAATATTCATGGATTAACTTCGTTCACATTAACCTCATAATTTCATTGGATAAAGAAATTAATAAGTAGTTAACTCTAAAGTGGTAAAAGCTAACTTACCGATGAGGTACACTGGATGACGTCGCGACAATTGTCGCCCTCTCCGGCCACCAGGCGGAACCACTCGCCGGCGTCCTTGTCCTTGCAGAGCTCCTTCTCGAAGGACTCCTCCTTCTTGGCCTCCTCGGTGGTGGCCTGTCGCCTGAATCTCAGCAGCGGATCGCTTTCGCTGGCTCTGGCTGCAATCCGAAAGAGGGAAATGGAAGTCTTAATGAAAATGAAAATGGAGGCAGCGAAATAGTTGCAGTTGGCCCGCCAGTTTTCTACCGCGAATGTGGGTTGGGCTGGGTCCATGTCGCCATGGCCTGGCACTTCCTGTTACAAAAACACAGATACGGGTGGATTCGGCCGGGGCTTATAGACATGGCATGCGGTCGGGCTGGTTAGTGGTGTGTTGTGTTGGCCGAAAAAAAACACGTTTGGCATTATGAAATACGATGTCACCAGAGAACCGAGCGCAGAAACAGAAATAAATGTCTGTGCCAAGCGCAAAACACAAAATACGAAACACCTAAAGCGATATACAGAAAGCATTCCGAAACTCGTTGCGCCTGCGCTATAACTTTGACATTTTGCATCTTGCGACTTGGCAACAGTAGAGTCTCGAGTCTCGAGTCTCTCAACTCGAGTCCCAATCCGATGTCGAGGGAGTTGCCGCATTTGCATAACGGTTAATTGACGGGCAGCAACAAGCCAGTGCTTATGCTGCGACTTTAATCATGATCGATGGCCTGTCAAAGTCAAGTCGCGGCGAATCGATTCCGAATCGAATTCGAATTCGAGTTCGGATGGGAGAACTGCATTCCCAGTGCTCAAATGTCAACCTGTATGGGTTTCTCCGCCCCTCAAGGTAGCCGACACCGTGCTTTTCGGTACTTGGGGTCCCTTAAGAAAATGAAAGTTGTTTACCGAGCTAGTTGCAGCTGGGTCGTCCTTTTTTGCATAACCAAGGTTACCACATTCACATCTTGAAAACGGCTTTTCAATTTCGTTTCGATTTTCCTCTTTGTTTTTTCTGCCTTGTCTTTTCTTGCTCTTCTGAAGGCCGAACCAGTCGAGCGATTTTAATTGATGTCTTGACAACTTCCGACAGCCAAATGCAAATTGCAGTTCGAAAATTAAAACTTATGACTACGAAGAGGCATAAAATATAGGTATTTCAGTGGAGACCTTACCTTCGTTAAAGGCCGCCAAAGCCAAAACGGCAAAAACCACAAATAGTTTTGCCATCTTATGTTGGACTTGGGATTCAATCAGTAAGTGTCCGTTGCAGCACAGTTTTTCAGAGTTGGTCTTTTTTCGATAACACACTGTTGGGAAAAAACACTTGTTTGGAGTTGGACGGCGGAGAGCAAGTTTTGTCCTTCCGATCGCTATCAAAGCTCCATTTACACTGTTTGCTACGATGCCGCGCACAATTTCTCGAACCCCTCTCTGACACCAAAGCCCCAGACGAAGTCAAATTTGCTTCTTTTATTACACGGCGGCGGCGACGTCTCTTTCGTGCATCTGTGGTGAGTTTGGAAAGCTTTGGAAACCTGCACCTTCGATCGGCGCTCGGCGATCGGTTGCGTTGGCCCCAGGGGCGATCCCGAATGCGATCCACAAAAGCTCCCGCTGATCGCAGATCGCTGATCACTGATCACCTGGCAAGCCCGGCTTATTGGCTTTTTGCTTTTCAGCTCTTCGGCTCTTTGGCTTTCTGGCCGGAATCTGTGTGTGTGTTGCACAAGTCTTGGCCCGATCGTGACCGGATCGTGGTTGAAAAGAAGAGAGAAGTGCGGCACGTACGCGATCACTCTTTTATATGCAAAATGGTGGCGGCTTTCGACTCGCCCTGCGAGGTGAGAAGCGGAGCGTCCGTTGTGGATTGCAAGTGTGCGAAGTTTTGGGCCTGGCTGCCACTCTGCAAATGGCACTATGGCCATTATGGCAGATTCCAGAACGTCTGAGGGGTCTCTTGACTGCCGTCCAACTCCCGGGACTAGCCCTCTCTATTCTTGGCGCTGGGTGTTGGATGTGTGTCAGCCAAACACTTCGTCTGGGCGTGCCCACGCAGTCACATGGTCGCCAAAATGCATTTTTAATCATCCCACATCCCGCATTTACGTATTTATGAGTTAGCTCTTTATTTGGGTATCTCACTAGACTCGGGTACCTTAACTGTTCAGTCCATTTGGTACGCGACTGGCCACAGTGCGTATGATTGATGTTAAAGTACTTCAAGTCTTTTATCATTCCCCGTTTATTGTAAAAGGATAAGTGCAATGCTCGTTTAAATCGCATAATTTCTATAATTGATCACCATTTCTAGTCCAGTTAAGCACTTGGAAATAGAAAGCACTCTTAAGAAATTTTCTACAGTAAAGATATCCAGTATCGTAATGTGAGTTCTCCACTAATTTGTGTCTGGTTTGGCAGATATCTAAAGACTCCTGCAGGGCTCAACAGCTTCTGTTGATTAAAAATTTAGTTTTTAACACATATGAATATTTATTTAAAAAAAATGGTTTAATTAACAATAACATCGTGGTCAACATAGAGATAATTCCTTGAAGTTTAAGTATAATAGAACAACTTGTAAATAATGGTTATTAACAAGTATCATTATTTATAATGATTATTTGTGTCTTTTATTTATGAAGACCTACGACGATTTTTATTTTTTCCTTCTTCAATTTAAATGATTTTTGGAGCCAATATGGACAAGAGTAAATAGAGTGTTGTCTTTTTACAATTAAGCATATTTGTAAATCCCCATGTGAATGAAAGTGAAAAAAATTTACTTTTTGCAACAAAAAAGTCAAAATAGCAGGATTATTTCGAAAATAAATAACAAATATTTTTGGTCCCTTGGTAAATTAAATTCCATCATAGTGTAACATAATACATATATTTAATTCTAAACAAGGATTCAAAATTGAACTTTCTCAATAAATTGGCAAGAGTCTTTAAAATTCGATTTGTTTAAAAAAAATCTGAAAGAAAGATACATCTTTCGATTTTTTTTTATTTTGACGGCTAAGTAGTTCCTCGCCGTCGTCTGGTCGTTCCAATTTAAAAGCTGTTATTTTTTACCCGCAGCGACCTTGATCATTTTAAAGCCAAATTAAAGCCATTTATGGCCCACAGAGTGATACGTCGTGGCTCGACGACTGCTAACTGACAGAGAGGCGTCTAAAGGCGTGACGAACTGCCACCAACTTGAGCGTTTTTCTGCTTTTTTGTCTGCTGCCTGGTGGCTTCAACTTTAAAGTGTGCCAAAGTGTTTTGCCGTTTGGCGAGAGACCTTTCTGAATTGTCATTGTCTATTTTTGCCACTCTTGACATTTGCATAGAGGAGTAAGGCTGACTGCCAAACTGCGACCGCTTCTGCCTCTCGGCTTGAATTTCCAATTAAGATTAAGTAAAATAAGTCTTTGACTTGGACGGTTTCCGCTTCAACGCACACGCATAACATCTGCCTGATGAAATTTACGTCAATTGGAGAACCTGTTTTCCGTTTCATTAAAATGTGATCATCTCGTTTCAGCGAATTCTTGCAAAATATTCAATGAAATTCATGCTTAAAACCGCAAAAATTTACGATCGGGCAAATTAATAAATTTCCAATTACTGGGGAACCACTTGTTCCTTTCCCTTTTATATTTATGTATTCCTATATTCCTATTATGTCGGTCACAAGGTAAGCGCAATGCAGTTCTTTGTTGGAGTAAGTTGTAAGATTGTTTGTTAATTTATAATGATTTGTCAATCCAATACTATGCGCTGTTTTCCCGTACGCATGTTAAACTAAGAGTATGTTCTAAACTCCAAATTTGATTGCGTGTTCTATACCTAAACCCTACACACAAAATATAATCAAGTACATACAAATATTTACTTTGAGCGTTAAATACTCACTTTCAGTTTAAATTATCAAAAAACAAGAGAGAACGCTATAGTCGGGATGGTGTCTCGACTATCTAATACCCGTCATTAGGGTAAAGGGAGTGCGAGGGAGATGGATATATCAACTATTTTTGATTGCGTATAACTTTTTAATGAATCGTCCGAATTGAAAAATGTCTTCTACATTTCGATAGGTACACAACAAAATTGAATTTATACTTCTCGGAAATCTTTAAAGGTGTGGGCGCCAGACATTTTAAAATCGTTAGTGGGCGTTAGAGGGGGCGTGTCGCCCGGCTGAAATAAAGTTCCGCTGCGTAGGAATATGTGTGGGAAATCTAAGCCTTCTAGTTTTCGTAGTTTCCGAGATCTCAGCGTTCATACAGACAGACAGACGGACATGGCTAGATCGACTCGGCTAGTGGCCCTGATCAAGAATATATATACTTTATGGGGTCGGAAATGCTTTTTATACCCTTGCAGAGGGTATTATGATTTCAGTCAGAAGTTTGCAACGCAGTGAAGGAGACGTTTCTGACCCCATAAAGTATATATATTCTTGATCAGCATCACAAGACGAGTCGATCTAGCCATGTCCGTCTGTTTCTACGCAAACTAATCTCTCAGTTTTTGAGCTATCGGGATGAAACTTTCCCAAAAGTCTTCTTTCTATTGCAGGTAGTATATATGTCGGAACCGACCGGATCGGACAACTATATCTTATAGCTCCCATAGGAAGGAAACGTTAAAAAAATTCTAGCTTCGGTGTTCTTTCAAATATTACCTTCTACTCTTGGGAATATTATTTTTTATATATTTCTGAATTTCGAATTAAATATTTAAAAAATCGGATCACTATATCATATAGCTGCCACAGGAACGGCCGAAAAATTAAATGGAAATTAACAGTAAAAAAATTATATCTTTGTTGATTTTTATTACATTCTCTTTTACTCTGGGATATGACTATTTTTAAAAATTTCCGAATTTCGATTTTAATTTTAAAAAGATCGAACTACTATAACATATAGCTGCCATAGAAACGATCGAAAAATTAATGTGAAATAATAGGAAATTTAACATTTTGGCAATTTATAAATTAATAGAATGATCTGCAAGGGTATATAAGCTTCGGCTTTCAGAAGCTAGCTTCCTTTCTTGTTTTTTTCTTAAGCAAAATGTAAAAGCAGAATGGAAATACGATCATTTTTGGAGGAGATATACAGTGGTCACCGTAAAACGCCTTTTTTAATAGTGTTCCAGCAATCGCTTTGCCACCGATATATCAGACGATAGTATCGGCTATAAAAATTATTGGATGTTATTTAAATGACACTTTATAATACACAATTGGTTTGAATTAAATCCATCTAACCAGTTTTTATAGAAAAAATCGCAAAGTTACTTGATTTTTTCATTCCAAAGACCCTAAATAAAATGAGTAGACAATTCGTGCGTGACATGTCGAACGTGACACAATTTTTAAGAGTGGATGTCTTTACAATTAGTTCAAATAGGATAATTCTGAAAAGAAAAGAAAGAAACTTCATTGTTTTTCATCAAATTCTCTTCTACTCTGGGATGAAGCATTTTTTAAAGATTTCAGTTTTAAGAAACTGCGAGGGTATATAAACAACGAAGCTAATTAAATTTTTTGATTTTATAATCAGTTTCAATAATTTTAACAGACAATATTTGAGTTCTGTAAACAGTTTATTGGTTTTGTAATTTTTGGTTATTAATACAAAGTTTTCCTTGTACACATAAAATAATTTTACTTAATGTATTCTTAACTAAGGCTTCTGTATTAATAACACAAGTCGACAAAAATAGTCCTTTTCCATCACGAAAAGCGAATAACTTTCTTAAATTCTTATTTTTTTAGATGGTGGGATGTGATATTTTTTGTCGACAAGTGTAATTATATACAATTATTTGCTGTGACTTTCAAATTTGTACCTAAACTCGTTTCGGATGCATTTGTTCTCATGGAAGATCTTGATCAAACCCATGTCAATATCCCTGGCAAAAATAGCTCCCTTTATTGTAATTTCTATTGTTCTCTGACTCTGGTTCGCCTTATATCACACCCTTAATATCTGTCGGTTTAAAATAATTTTGCTGTTTTGTGATTTCGCGAAACCCAGCATTGCTGGTAGAGCACTTTCACAATCAAATTTTCGGATTTCATCGATGGACAGTAATTGGTACGAATACTTTTGAGTTTGTATATTCAAGAAAAAATTAGTTTTAGTCAAAATTAATATTTCTGCAAATCGGAGTTAAACCAAATCTTTGAAAGTGCAAATCGGAACATTACTAATGTTTGTGTTTTGGGCAGCTGCTTTTGGAATTTCTCATAGGTACTTACGTTATGGTTACTCTTATCTCGGTTCAAGTGCTTTGGCAAACTAACAAACTAATACAAAAAGCTAACAACAAGTTCGACTACACACATAAAGCTGACATAACAAAACAGAAAGAAGGCCTCCGGCTCGATACGGCGCACCCAGTTACTTCATAATACTAGAAAGGCTGGTGTAACCACTGTTAGCCTGCACGGGCTCCTGTTGACGTCCGCAACGTCCGCAGCAGCAAATAGTCTTCACCACATCCAGGAAGCTCGTCTGGTCAAAGTCGTCTAGATCGGTCATGAATACACCGGAACTAATGTCCTCTGCAGTGCGGGTGCCGACAA